CATATCTTCATCATGAATGTAACCTGAAGGGCAATCGATGCTTTGTCCTATACATGGCTGGAGAAAGTGGAAATGTAAAGAGCAGGAAAGGAATGTCGAATGCAATGTGAGTCACATTTCAGGTTGCACCATGTAACTAGCTTGTTCCATGAGTGTTATTAAAACAAGAAAGTGGAAGTGTAAAGAGCAGGAAAGGAAAGTCGAATTCAATGTGAGTCACATTTCAGGTTGCACCATGTAACTAGCTTGTTCCATGAGTGTTATTAAAGCAAGGGGCACAATTGCAGCTTGGGAACAGACAGGCTCAAAACATGGATGGTGTGGAAGGAAATGCAAGGACCAGACCCAGAGATTTGCTGCAAAGGGCAGTGTGGGAATCCAATGACAGACAAAAAGAACTGTGGAGCCTACAACAGCAAGAGTAAGAAAGAAAGCAAGTGCATCTATGGAATGTGCGTCTATGTATGACATAAATTTAAATTTTTGGTAAATGGCTAGATATTAGTTGGTGGATCTAGCCTCATGCTTATTCATTTGTTTGTATGATTACATGTAACGTGATATTCTATCAATAGAAATGTACCTTTTAGTCTGTATTGGAAAAATAAAATGCTAGTCCGGCCTGGAAATGTCTGAAATGGCACAACAACTTGAGTCTGCCCGTTCGGATTGCTGTGTGCATCTAAAAATTTCCAGCCCAAACTGGCATTTTGTTTTGCTAGTCTGAACTAAAAAAACTTTTTAACTATCCTGTATATGTAGTTAGTGTAATCAGTAAGCATAAGAAAAACAAGACAGAAGATGTGGAGCAAAATATCAATATAATTATAGACCATATCACACAGTCCAGAAAATGTAATAAAAAGACATGTTTCCAACTGCATGAAGAACGTAATATAACAGCTCCATCAGCCATACAACAATATGTTACTGTATGGAACAGTGATGATTGTATCCGCTCTCTGCTATGCCTCTTACATCTTATCTTCCAATTCTACCTTCTTCAATAAGCAGTAATTATCTGTGCCATGTTCTCTGATACTAATCTACTCTTTGTCTACAGTCAGTGGTGTGATTTATCAGCAAAACTCAAGCCATCATTCTAGTAGCTAGACCTAGCCAAATTTGATCTACAGGGTCAATTGACTGTTAAGAATGGTGTAAGAATTCGCTGATTATGAAGGTGTGTCTATCAATGTACAGGCCTTAAAAGGGCCCACTAGCCCCTCACCCAAAAGGCGCATGGCAGCTCCATGAGAACTTCCATGCAAATAAGAATCTGGTAACAAATGTAGAATTAGTACAACACCACTTAGTCCTAATTTCACTCTCATAGTTCACACGGTTGATGGCCTGTTCAATAAAATAACACAAGCAAGAAGATCCAAGTGAAACATACAAACATGGACTGTAAAAGAACAAAAAGCCTGCAATGAAGGTCAAATTTGAGAGATTAAATTACCTTCAGGAGCATAGAAAAATGAATTGATCAGAAAGAAGTGGACTGGATGAAAAGCAGCTAACATTAGGGATGAGAAGTAATAACCTTTATTTCATTGATCTGTTTAGTGTCAGCATCCGCATGGCTAAATGTAACAGGATGCCAGTTATTCTCCATCTTGGCAGCTGACTGATTCCATAAGTTATAGGTCATTGCTCTTCTCTCAAGTTCACCTTCAAGTTCACTCATCTAACAGGTAAAAAACAAGAAACCAGAAAAGGTAGATAAATTAGATTTCATGGTCTCAGCCACACAAAATCATCACACAACAAAATCAACCCAAGAAGAATAGCACTGACACGGATGTGAAATTCAGAAATATATATATATATATATATATCAGGGAAGAGATTAACTATTGATACTTACCGCAAACAATGTCTGCACATAATGTTCATCTGGGATACAATTGCGCAGCTTATGAAGCTTATGCATAATTGGACCAGCATATCATTCACTTGCAGGGAAAAGAAGCATTATGTCTGAAGTTAAAATTGGAAGCACAAATTTTTGGAGAGTATAAAATAAAAGGGTTTTTCTAACTTGAGTCCTGAGGATGCATTTAAAATACCTTTTAATTATTAAGTTACCTAAAAAAAAAATAAAGTTTGACTTTAATTTTAGTAACTAGCCAATTAAATTAATATATGTGGCATTAATGATAAAATTAATATTCACTTATTTGGTTTTCTATACAACTTCATGACTAAAAAATGTTCCATGAAAAAGAATGACTAAAAAATGTATTAATTACACCCTTAACTTGTCCCCTATTAACACAGATTAGAAAAATCCAAATAAAAATGCATTGTTTTTCTTTTTTAGAAATAAATCTTTCTTGAAAGTCCATCTTCCACATACAAAAAACTGGAAATAATATTTTTTTGATCAATGTCCATGAAATAGAGAACTTGATCCACCAAACAAATGCAATCATATAATTGCACTTTGTTATCTTTCTGTTGCCCTGTTCTATTCACTTCTTTAAGCCAACTTTTTATCTATCAGGCTACTGTTTCAACAATGGTGACATCTCATAATAGGGCAGTGTGGAGTCCATACATTAGACACTACAACAAGACACCTGGATTACGTAAACTAAGGGAGACTGCGATCTATACTACAAATAATGGCTTGGAACAATTACCATATTCGGCTTTCCTTTCCTAACATCCAGAGGTGGGGGTCGCTGCAACAAGAGAAGAAAATTCAAATCTCAGATAAGTTCCACATAGTTATGAATTACATAATTAGATATATGACAGTAACACTATCAAAATTTGATAAGGAGCTCCTCTTTAAGGAAATTAATGTGGAGGCACCATTTGATAATGTTGGCACAGCTTTTATACTTTTAGTTTCACTGTTATTTGTTTGATAATTATTCACAAACCTATGGTAGGAGTTTTTGGTCTTTGAAAGTTCCTAATGATGCTTCTTGGAGCTGGAGGAAGATACTACAGTTAAGAAGTGTTGTTAGACCTTTTATTAAGCATCAGGTGGGCGATGGTGAAGGCATATATTTGTGGTTTGATGATTGGCATCCTCACGGACCTCTAATAAAAACCTATGGTTATGATATTGTTAAAGCAGCTGCTTTGCCTCTTCAGGCTAAACTTTCTCTTGTAGTGCATGGGAACTATTGGAAATGGCCACCAGCAAGGTCTCCTTCCCTCTTGCAGGTTCAAATAGCATTATGTGGGGCATTGTACCCAATTACAGGCCAGGTAGATAATGTTATTTGGTTACCCTCCTCCTCTGGCTCTTTTACAACAAAGTCTGCATGGGAATGTCTTCGAAGCAAACAACAAAGGGTAGACTGGTTCAGACTTGTGTGGTTTGCTAATTCTATACCAAGACATAGTTTTGTAACTTGGCTAGCTTTACTTGATAGGCTGTCCACACGCTCTAGACAAAAGAAGTGGTCAACTCAGGTCAATGATATCTGTGTGCTATGCAGCAAGGCAAGTGAGACACGGGACCATCTTTTCTTTGCATGTTCTTTCTCTACTAGTGTTTGGAGAGAGATATCTGACAGGGCTAGTATTCCATTTATTACATCTTTGATGCCACTGGTGCAATGGATGAAAAAGAAAACCAAGAGGAAGGCTCTTTATAATTCCCTTATCAAGTTGGCGTGGAATGCTACAACTTACCATATATGGTTTGAACGCAATACGCGTATACATCAATCGTTGTTTCATTCTGAATTTGAGATTGTATAGTTGGTTATTGCTGATGTTCGTGATAAAATTTTGAGTTTTGCAAGGCCAAAAACATCGCCACTGTCTCGTCCAATTGCGTTGCGGTGGGGGATTGGAGCTGTAATTCGAGATTGAATTCTATCTGTTGATTGTCTGTCCATTCTTTTGTACAAATCTTACCTGGTAGCAGCCTTTATTAGCGGTGCTGCTTTGTACACTTGTTATTGGAAATAAGAATTCACATTTTACCAAAAAAAATAAAAGATAATTATTCACAAACCACAACAATCTGGATTAGCTTAATTTCTTTACGATAGCATTAATGAGATATGGTCAATACAAAAAGCGGCCTGTTTCATAATCTTTTCTTCAGAAATCAAAATTAGAAGATACGAGCATCTAATATTTAGTGGAATGGAACCAAGGACAGAATGGTTAATTGTGTACCTTGCATAATTTCTTAAAAACTGGAAAAATGATCTCTCATCATTTATAACAACTTCAGCATGGCTTCTTATCAAGGAGATCCACTGCAAATGTAAATAAGTTCAAACCGGAGCTTAATTTTTTGTACCGGATGGTAATAAAAGACATATAAAACTCATGAGGAATAGACAAGGATACATCTCAATCTTCAACTATTTTTAGAAGGCAAGAGAGGCAAAGATGGAAATAATCAATTCCCATCACTTATTAAATCCAGTTGAAGTATCTAAAGCAGTTCATTAAAAAATCCAGTTCCCCCAACACTCAACCATCTCTATATTAATTTAATGTTATCTATAACAGAAAATGGATAACCTGCGATTCTTTTTGCCACTTGTCTTTTGGGATGATAGATGACATCTTTGAGCTGTATCTACCATCCTTTACATTAAGAAAGCTACAAAATGAAGTGATTTCTTCGGTAGGAACCAGAAAAGGCTTAAAACAGATAGAACACTATCATTTCATTTATCATGGAAACAATTGTAAAGAATCAATTATAGGCACCTCAAGAATCAAGCAGGCTGCCATCTACCTGTCCATATAGCTCCTTGGAGAAGCCATCAGATACTTGTATATATAACTAAAATTGTAAAGAGGAACACAACTGCAATACAGAAAAAGAAAAACCTAGATTAACATGAACTCAAAGAAAATGTTCTTGATCCAAGGAATAGGAAAATTTCCTCAATTACAATACTAATCCTTGTCCAAGCTTTACAAACCTGTCAGAAAGCAGGACAAATCTTTGATTCGCTGGGTCTTCTAGAGCAACTGCAAGCAACAATCTCTCCACTTCTATCATGCTTGATTCTCCCCATCTCACCTGCAATAAGAGACTGGCGGGTACGAACTCAAAATCAGATATGCCATTGAACTTAACAAGTTTCTGATTCATCCTTTCAGTTTCCATCCACCAACCAACAATAGAAGAAAAATTACAACTTTGAATCTTAAAAAGTTCCCTGCTTTCACTACCAACAAAAACTTAAAACTCCAAACTATAATTCCCTTCTTTCCACTATCTGAAACTCAAAATACAAAGCCGAAAATTGATCACTTTAATGCTATTACTCAATTGGCGACCATAAAAGAATTGCGAGCCCGAATTCAATTAATCAAAGACAAACCCAGGCTCCGAGGGTGTATATAATAGAGAAATTACCAGCATAAGCATTCCGCAAAAACCGAACAACTTCAGATCCTGAAATTCATATAGCTTTACCAAGAAACTGCAGAAATTCCTTTCCTTTTTTTGCAGAGAACTGCACACAAATTTGGAAAACAGAGAAACAGACCTCAAAGAAGGTGCTCCAGGGAAAATCAAGAGGTAGGTCCAGACGGGAGAGGAAGAGGAAGTCGATCTTGGGATACCCGTCGTAGCTATTTAAGAAAACCCGAGATCTCGTCCTCGCGCTAGATAAGGAGTTCGGAGAGGCGATATCGGCCTGAAAAATGGAGGAGGAGGAGAGCAACGACGTAGACTGCGACGGAAACGACGAGGACGAGCTTCCAGCCCAACCAGATGATGTGGCGCTCGGGGATCGGTCCTGGGACTTTCCTTGTCGTACTTCACGATCAGACCATCACAAGACAAGGCATTCTGAACGTAAACCCGGGTGTCGCAAGTGCTCTTGAAAACCTGAGATTCTAACTGAAAATTCTGGAGTTGAAACTAAAAAAAATTATGAAGTTACGGACCTAGAAATCAGAGGTTTTCATTTCTCGTATGAGAGGAAACGGAAAATACATTGAATGGATTAATTAAGTGCCATTTGGATTGACAGAAAATGAAAAAAAAGGACAGGATGGGAAATTGGGAACGGTAATGTTTTAATTCCAATGGTAGGTAAGATTATAAGTTTTTAAATTTACGTAATATTTAATAAAATATAATATAATATTAAATAAATACATATATTTAATATTATCAAAAAAATATTTAAATAAAAAAATTAATTATATAATAATATATTATATTATAATATTATAAGTTTATAATATATATGTTATTATAATTATAATATTTTTGAATTAAAAATTTCGTAGCGCGAGTTTCTAAACTCGGGTAGCGTTTGGTTGTTTTCCAATGGGTACTCTTTGCCCACGTTATTTCATAAAATATTAATTTATAATAATTAAATTAATTTTAATTAATATTTTATATAATTTTATAATTATATATTAATGTATAAGATTTTTTTATAATAAAATATTAAAAATTTACAACACAATATTTTACAATAATTCTAAATGTAACTTTAGATTTTGTTTAACAATGTTTATTAATGTTTTAATTTTTAATTTTTATATTTTTTTACTCTATTATTTTAAAAGATTAATACATATTAATCTTGATTTTTAATAAAATTAAAGTTTT